AATGTACACAATCTTCTAAAAATACAGATATTTTATTATTAATTTTCGAATTTTCGAAAGTATTAAGGTAATTCAAACAAATTCAAACATTTTTTTCTACAAAATCTTATCAAATGAAGTCAAACAATATTTTTCTATACCAGAAATCTAGGTAAACAAACGCTATCTAGCCCCATGTAGCCCATAGATCGAACAAAATTTCCTATCGACTGTTAAAATTTCACTACAAGTACTTAATTCACCCCGTATACCAAGGAACTAAAGTGCAGATTTTAATCACGCCAACGTTTATGTGACGAACTAAAAGGCACTTTAGTTCCTGTACAAGGTAATAAAGTGTATATTTTAATAACAACGATAAAGTTTGCGAATTGAAAATCACTTTAGTTCCTAAAACTAGAAACTAAATCGGAAGTTTTAATCTAAAAGAGACTAAAGTGCTTTCTTAATATTTTACTAACTGTAAAATTTTACCAACGAATTAAGTTTTAGTTCTTGAAACTATGAATGAAATGAAAAGTTTAGTACAAAATAGTATTTTTCGTCAAAGTATTGAAGTGCATCTTTTAATAACAACGATAAAGTTTGCCCAACGAATTATAAAGCACTTTAGTTCCTAAAACCGGAAACTAAATCGTAAGTTTTAATCTACAAGAGACTAAAGTGCATTTTTTAATATTTTACTAACTGTAAAATTTTACCAACGAATTAAGTTTCAGTTCCTGAAACTATTAATGATATTAAAAGTTTAGTACAAAATTATATTTTTCGTCAAGGTACTAAAATCTTTTAGTATCTTTTAATAACAACGATAAAGTTTTCGTAACGAAATAAAAAGCCTAAAACTGGAAACTAAATCGTAAGTTTTAGTCTACAAGAGACTAAAGTACATTTTTAATACTAACTATAAAATTTTAATAAAGACTTAAAACAAACTTTAGCTCCTGAAACTAGTAATGACATTACTAGTTTCATACATACACATATACATAGACATATATTTTGTCTAGATATTAAAGGGCATTTTTTAATATCTATAAAGTTTGCCCTACGAATTAAAAAGCACTTTAGTTTCTAAATTTGGGAATTTAATTGGGAAGTTTTACTCTACAAGAAACTAAAGTGCATTTTTTGATACTAACTGTAAAATTTTGCCAACGAACTAAAAGACTCTTTAGTTCCTGAAACTATTAATGAAATCAAAAGTTTAGTGCAAAATAATATTTTCGTCAAGGTACTAAAGTGCATCTTTTAATAACAACGATAAAGTTTTCGCAACGAAATAAAAAGCCTAAAACTGGAAACTAAATCGTAAGTTTCAATCTACAAGAGACTAAAGTACATTTTTAATACTAACTATAAAATTTTAATAAAGACTTAAAAGAAACCTTAGCTCCTGAAACTATTAATGCCATTAAAAGTTTAGTGCAAAATAATATATTTTGTCTAGATACTAAAGGGCATTTTTTAATATCTATAAAGTTTGCCCTACGAATTAAAAAGCACTTTAGTTCCCAAAATTGGGAATTCAATTGGAAGTTTTAGTCTACAAGAAACTAAAGTGCATTTTTTAATACTAACTGTAAAATTTTGCCAACGAACTAAAAGACCCTTTAGTTCCTGAAACTATTAATGAAATCAAAAGTATAGTGCAAAATAGTGTATCTTATCAAGGGACTAAAATGCGTCTTTTAATATCAACAACGAAGTTTACCAGAGTTAAAATACACTTTAGTCGCAAAATATCGTTTATTTACTTTGACAACTATTTGAACTGGATTAGTAAACTAAACTAATTTAAAAGGACACTACTGTGTGAAACTAGAGAGTAAACGAGAATTTTTTAATTTAAGAAGCGCAAAATAGTACTATAGTACTGTAAGGTACCAAAGTGCTTCTTTTAGTCCCGAGAGTGAGATTTGTTTATTACTTGAGGCATGTTATTCTTTTGCATTTCGTAGCCTCATATGAATAAAATTACATAATTTTATTAATACACCGACTTGATAAATGTCAAATATGAAAATATATAGTATACTTTATCAATTGTGTAATAGTGAACATTATATTTTATAGAACTAAAGTGTATTGCTTAACAGTCCACAGCAGCAATCACTCAAGGGATTAACAAGCACTCCTTGATCAAAAATAGTTAAAATTAAGGATTAGTTATTTCTCTTTCATATACAAGTACGTCACAAATATAAAATGATATTTTGCAGTTTAAAAGTGACACTTTATTTTCGAAAATTATACATTAAATCAGATTTTTGTACGGATTACAAAGAAGCACTTTAATCCTGTGATATTATATATTATATTTTAAGGAATCATCTCATCTCTCTATAATTCTGGGGATAAGAGATAAAAAATGATTTTATAAATTGAAAATAGGAACTGAAGTTTTTCCGAGAACCGAAATGTTTAATTTTCGACGACGCTAGATTAAATTTTTAAATGATTCTATAAAAAAGGGACATTCTCTTGAAGAATCGAATAAATATCAGTATCCCGACCATATAAAAGCTCGCGAAGGGCCTTGAAGTCCTGTAGAGCTTTCCGCGAGCCAGTACGCTTACGAAACGCCCCCGCCTGGCGTACGCGAGACCTTGCCCCACATTTCCAAGGAAGTCTAGCACGGTTGAGGGGACATAGACATACTATTTCAATTAGCCAGTCCCGAATAATTAATATTTTCTTAAATAATTACAGGCCGCGAGACGTCCGTAACGCGAGCCAGACACGAGGGCGATATTTAAACGAGATAAAGTTTACAAAAGCCGAAATAAAACAGACGCCGTTAGTTTGGCCTAAATTATGATTTACAATGGTCGGCGGTGTTTGTTAGTTTTACATGGAAATCTGCTACAAGGTGGGTGATAATTAATAACCACTGAGTCAGACAAGCTTTTTTCTTCTAGCACAAGCCCGCCAAATAGGGGTATTTCCCCAACATTTAAAACACGTGATACGCAATTGGGTTTTAAAAAATTGGCCCGTCAACTTTTATAGATACACTGCGAGAACGATTTATTTTTATTACCGCAGATGTAGTTCTATCTAATAAACAGTGTACTTGAACTTGAATATGAGCAACGAAATCTCAAATTACTGTAACTAAATGATTTATTTACCAACTGTAAACAATTTATGTGTTACAACTAAAATATTGTGTTAGTATAGTTGTTTTATAATGATATAGTTAATCACTTAGTAATTCAAATGTTTTATACAGGGTGAGTCAGTTTTTTGTAGACAAACTTTAACAGGAGATAGAACACATGTTTTAAAGAGAAAAGTTCCTATAAACATATGTCGTAGAAGACTTCGTTTCCGAGATACAGGGTGTTGAATATAATTTTTTTTCTCGAATTTTCATTATAACTTATAAACGAATGCTGAGAATTTTTTCATGTTTGGGGGATAATTAAGGGGCAGAAAACAAGCGATAAGAATGTTCAAAAACTTGCACAGTGGCGGAGTGGAGGGGGTGCTCAACCCTTTTCTTAAACAGAACTTCTACGCCATTAAGCACTAAATAACCCAGCACTGCCCTTTTGAGACTTGTCGTGACTAGTTTGTATCTAAAATTGTATTTCAAGCAAAAAAATTTCCTGAACATTTTTTGAGAAATGAATAGTTCTAGTTATTTTATATTTTGTGAAGTGTTTGGCGACGTTTACGAAATTAAAACAAAATTAATAAATCGGAAACGGTCCACTCATTACATCTTTTTTCACGGAAACACCCCAAATTACAGGTAGCGATCGAATTTTCAAAATATCCAGAGGCGTCGAATTTCCAACTCTCGGTATCTACGCCACTGGTACACGTATTTATATCCGAATTCAGTGGACTTTTACCTCTAATTAGTAAAGTAACTAGTAAGTTTAGTCATTCTATACAAAACCTCGTCAGAGATATTTCAGAAAAGGATTTTTTTTAATTTCAACACCCTGTATCTCGAAAATTATCGATTTAAGGGCCGGTGTTTATATAACGTTTTTGGTTTAAAAAACTACATATTAAACAAAAGTTTTTTCTTCCATAAGACAAATACGTGGTTGGCACTTATTTCTTGGACATCCTGTATATCGGACAACAAACTTCAGCATCGGAATAGAAACATGTAAGTCTGCTTGTTGATTATAGTTGAAGTAAACAAGGTATTGCAATCTCGGATAATTATCACTAAAAATGTATTGAAACAATGAATTGCAAATTAAAAAAATGTATAAATAATTCAATGCGATTTGTCTGAATTAGTATGTAACGGAAAAAAAATGTTAATGTAACACAAGATACAATTACAAATGCAACTAGATATTAGTAGTGATTTTATAATTGTCAAGGACATTAGACAAGCAAAGAATAACGAAGTCTATGTTCTTTATCTGTTAAGGATTATAAAGTGTTAAAAAACAGCTGATTTTTTACCCAGTCGTCTAGAATTTTGCAATTGGTTTCAGAATCAAAGTGCAACGGATTCTAAAACTTCAATAACAAAGCTATGGACGAAGAGTGAATGTTTTTTAGCCGTTGTTTCATTTTAAATGAGTAGGTACTATACTCATTCAAAAGCAATAAGTGACCACAATAAGGTATGCGTACTACAAACAGAATAATTAATTGAACATAATACTAATAAAAACTCAAACTCAATAAAATATAGTGAAAACAATCTTAAAAATACTAAATTGTATAACCTAACATTCGAAAACAATTATCCTTACACATTTGCTTTTAGTGACAAATAAATAATATAAAAAAATATCCTAGTCATTCATGTGTCTAGCTAAAAAGCTGTCTTTATTCGATGTAGCTGCCTACTAACCATTTTATGAAATAAGCTCGAAGCAGATACAGGATGTTAAAGTTTTCGTAAAAGAAAATGTTTTTTTCTTTATAACTTTTATAGATCGCAATTTCGAATTAGGACCGAATACACTACCACCCTGTACAACGATACAAATAAATAAAATGAACGCAATATTACTCACCTAAAATATGACGCGGATGAACTCCCGCTTACGTGTTGGACACTCGCGAAACGATCAAATTTGAATGTTTAAAATTAGTGTTACTATAGCATTTAGTCAATTTTTTTAGGATCATTGTTCAGATGGTGCTAAGTTAAAAATTTAGCTCGTTAGCAGACCATTGTCGGCGGACGGATTCGGCACCTGTAACAAAAAAAAAAGGATTTTTTACTGTTTTGAACACCTGGTTCTCCACACACCTTTGAACATAAATAAGCATATAATTAGGTATAAAGTTATGTATAATAAGAGTTAATTATATTAATGCTTTAATGGATTCAATACGGATATCGTTCTATCGGATTTACCTCTGTAGACTGATAAAAAATGCACGTATGTAAAAACAAGCATTATGTAAAAAAAAATTTTCACAATTGTAATGGTTTTTGTACATAAAATGTATTCGTAATTCTTTATGTATATTTACTATATTTGATGTAAATATACGAATAAAAGTGTGAGTTTACATGTCCTGATTTGGCTCAACCAACCAGATTACTTACCAACTTACAGCGCGTGTGCAGATAACTGTGCTAATTATTCAGTGGGCATGGTTAGATTCATTTGTGGCGTAATAATATAGCACCTACCTAAATATAATATTATAATAATTCATATTTTTTTCAGTTCAGATTTTAAAAAATCGCTAAACAGGTCAATTAATAAATCGAAATTTGTTTGACATTACCGACATTTTTTTTAATAGGACGTATATTTTATAGTATACAGGGTGTCCGCGTTTTTTGTAGCAGGACTTTCACAACTTGTACTAAAAGTCCTTTAAAAAAAAAGTTCATGTAAACATATATGTATAGATGCGTCGTTTTCGATTTACAGTGTTCAAGTTTAAATTGAAAATTGATTTTTTTTCGTAAAACGAAAACCCCTTTTTAGACTTTGCAACTTTGGCAACTTTGTTTGTAATAACAATAATACTCATTTTCTCACATAATTTAATTTGTCCTATTTTCTCCAGTGGCGTCACAACAAGATACCAGCTTGATAAAAATAAAAAAAATATGGTACGTCACTGCTTTTTGGTAAGTTTCAAATTTTTCTCAGATTTAGCTATCAAAAATACAACTTTTTTGTTATTTAATGTTTTTTCTCTTTTTCCTTCAATTGGTGCAACCTTTAATGACCACACTGTATACTACTGTATCATTTTAAAAATCAGTTTACTAGTACGAAACATGTAATTTATACCCTTACAACTCTACCAACATGTAATCTATACCCTTGTACTGACTAATGTAAAACCAGAGAAGAATTACTGACGAAGATGTTAGTGGCGAATTCTAGTAGGTGTAAGATTACCTTCGTCTGAGTATATGGTAGCCTTTCTCGGTACCTTTATCTTATCTCATTCTAAATACTACCGGTTCTTTAACCTAAGCGCTCCTAACGACCTGCATGTCATTATTCCCATTAAGACTAACATCGAAAATGAAAGATTTTTTGTATAACATCATAATCGATCACCAACAAAGTTGTTCCTGGGAGTGATACTGCATAGACAATAATAAGATACCGTCCCTTCTTCCATACACGACAATCTAAAGGTTCCTAAGGAACTATCCTACAGAAAAATCTAGATAAATAAGTAAAATAAATAAATAATAAATATTTTCAAATTTATCGGTCTTTTGTTTATTATCAACCACTTTGATATTATAATATATAGGAGTGTTGATATTGTCCATTATGTTGCCGGTCCAATTTAATACTCGTAACTAGGCTGCGGCCTATAAAAGATCCCGTTAAATTCTTTGGCAACTGGAGAACACATTTATTTCCAACACAAAAAACACGAAAACTGCATTTATTTCATTTTATCTGCTGCCACTTGTGTTGCCAAAATATTTCAGTCAGTAAATAAAGTTGTTCACATGAAGCGGCAACGAGAGATTTTATGCAGGAAATGTTTCAATATTGCCGGAGCTAAAATCGGAATATTTACAAAGTATACTACTAAGAGTTATGATGACATTTTATAATTAAAAAAACTCGGCAATAGGCACAATGTTTCATTCATTTAGGATAAGGATTTTCAATAATCAAATTCGTTGAAACTGCAAAACGTTGCTTAAAATTAATAATAATCAAAATTGTTCAAACTTATTGAGAACTTCTGGAATCGCCCCCGACCTACGCACTACATAAAAAATGGTGAATAGTTGTGGCCGCAAATTTCTTGCCGTCCGTTTGTTTGTCTCGTTTTTTGTAGGAAACAGAAAAAATGTTACTTCATTTTACCAAAAAACAAAAGTAAATAAAAGTGGCATTTTTTAGATAGGCACAGAAGGAATGCAAGTTTCATCGGTTTATTTCTCTTTACGGATGTAGGCAATACAAATCATACTAAACAAAAACAGTTTTTTCTCGAAAACAGTTCATTTTATCGATATCAACCAAGAGTACCTTTTTTAGTTTAAGGTTCAAGCTATCTAAAAATATAATTTTTGTGTCTTTATCGTACAGGGTGTAAAAAAAATTGACATTACTGTGCTACAGCTAGTCCGTCCCTGGCAAACCAAATAAGCCAAATTGTTTTCATGGGTCAATTTTTAAAGTCTTATCTGTTGTCCATCATATTAAAAAAAAGTTAAATTACACAAAGTATTTTAAAAGTTATTAAAAAAAATCAATTTTCAGGGGCCCGTATCTCTGTAGGGGGGCCCTCTAGGGCTAGGGATAATTTTTATAGGAACTTGTCTTGTTATTTTAACGTCCCCTTTATAAATCCGAGAGATTGCTCACATATTCTGGGACACCCTGTATAGAAAAAATTTTCTGATTCCATACTCGAACATAAAAATTTACGCTCTATCAATCGCTGGCGTGTTCAGTTCAATATTTTCTAGTTGACCTTAGTTTCACCTTCAAACCAAAGGTAGAGGTCAAACCAAGATCACCATCATATTGGTTCCTCAACATCACACAACTTTTACACAACTTTTTTATAGGTCTGAATCCTGAAAATTTATCAGGGGGTCTTTTTGGTACATGCATAACTATCAAGTTTCTCTTGACCTTTTAGTCCTCCAGGGACTTTTAAACCCTTGTGGGATCTTATAGGAGAGCCGCAATCTACTTCCATTTTGGCTAGTTGTCTATAAATTGATGTATCATGACCCGTTCTGATTTTTAAGGTTGTTCTCCCCACACATCCTAGCCTGAGAACAACAACTGCAGGTCAAAGATTTCAGGTCAAGTGTATTAAATCTAGCGGTGAAGAGTAACATAGACTACGGCATAACGAATCATCTTCCAGTGACTGATTTCAACAAACTTTTGACTTTATAATTGCCTGAATCCGGGATGCCCCGGAAGAACAAACAAAAACTAGTCTCTTCCGTGGACGTACGTTGAGACACTTCAATTTACAGATCAAGTGGAAGGTAATTGTGCGATCAGATTTGTCGATAATTTTTACACGATTAACAGATGGTTATCTCCGTACAGTTTGTTAATAAAGCGGATTTATTCCGATCGGTCCGACAAAGTAAACGCTTCCTTGCTAGTTCGTGAGACCTCTCCGCGTCCTTGCGAGAGTATCTCAATTATCGCCCCGTCGATTGATTTAGACCATTCTTAATCGTGTTTTCAATTAAAGATTAATTGCTTCAGATAAGGTAGCATTTTAATTGGCAGATCCGAATTGTTGATATTTTGAAACTGTTTGTACGCCCAACGGGCAAGACTTTGTTTATATATGCGGTATTTTTCTCCTAGAAATGTTGCACAATTGGGGCTTATCTCGGATAGAAATGTAGATTCATTGGATGTTACTACATTTATTTACTCCAACGTACAACTGACTAAACAAAACACTGTTATAAAATTTCGTCCTTCAACACAAAACATCGAAGCAGTTTATGAGAGTGTTGCTGAGAGTCCAGGAACATTAATTCGGCACCATTTCAAGAATTGGACATTTCGAGAAGTACAGCGTATTCTCACGAAAGTTCAATTGACTCAAGAACTGAAGCCTACTGACCACGCAGGGCAAAGAGAGTTCGTTGAATGGATTATGGAACAACAAGTGGATACAGGTTTTTCGATCAAGGTCATCTTCAGCGATGAGGCTTATTTTCATCTTGGTTTCGTTAATCGACAAAATTGTCACATTTTGGCTCAGAAAATCCACGAGTGATTATTGAAAAATAAATGCATCCACAACGTATCACTGTTTGGCACAGATATTGGGCTGGAAGCATCAGCGAACCATTCTTCTTCGAAAATGCAGCTGGTCAGGCAATAATAGTTAAGGGTGCTAATAATCCAGTTTTTTGTGCTTAAATTGCAAGACATGTGTGTAGACGACATGTGGCTTCAACAAGACGATGCCACATGCCATACAGCCCGAGAAACAATTCAATTACTGCGTGAATCACTTCCTGATCGTGTAATTTCCCGTTTTGGTGATCAGAAATGGCCGCCCAGATGAGACGATTTAACGCCGTTGGACTTTTTGGATATTTTTGAAGTCTAAGGTTTATGCCAAGAAGCCTACAACCCCCACGCCTTGAAGGAGGAAATTGAACGCTATATCAACGAAATTCAGCCGCATTTAAGTAAAATGGTAATGGAAAATTTCGACAAAAGAGTGCCAGCAAAGCACTGGAGGCCATTTACACGATATTCTATTCCATACATAACTCTACACTTTAATTAATAAAAAAATTGACAATTTTCTATCAAAATTACTTTATGCGTGAATTTTGGAACACCTTTTACTAAACGCGTTCAAATTTAAAAAAAAAAACTATTTCATATACGCAAATATCTCAAAAGATATTTGGTGCAGATTAATAACATTTGGGTTGCGATTTAACAAAGAAAATGAAAATTTTGTATACAACTATATCAATAGGTGGCGGGAATACTGAGAGACACTGTCACTAACAGCCTCAAAAGTCGTATTCGATTATTTTTTCTAATTTAACATAAACTTACTGCACAGTAGATTAAATAGAAAACATGTCTAGAACTTTTCGTTTCACAGAAAAATTGTTATAAAATTTAAATACAATTACATTAAAAGCCCGGAAAATTCAATGACGTAGAAATTTGCCCCAGATATCCCTCAGAAACCTCAAAATTTCTACTATAATGATACTTTTGAATCTTTTAATTACTTA